ACACGCGCTCTTCGCAGCTCACGCGCTTTCCGGGCCGGAGAGGGAGCCGTGCCTTCTGCTTTACATTCGGATGTAAACAAGAAAGCAGAATTCGCCCAGTCAATATGGCCGACTTACGGCTTCATCACGGCTTCACAACCGAGTGACGTCAGGGTCTCCCTTACCTTTCCTTCCTACGTGGTATACAGTAACTCTACCGGCGGTAGACTAATGGGAGACACCAACGTTGCCAGATAGCCCTGGTGGTCGTTACACTTGACACCACATTTCGCCATTTGCTGAAGACGGAGACAGGGAGTTCCGGTTACACAGCCCAGCGTGAAAATTGGTCCTTTAGGCATGCATTTGTGCCTTGCGCAGATTCCCCGTCAAAGCTTCGTAGAAGTCTATTATGTAAAGGATGCAATTATGCCGCTACGCCAATGGGTTGGATCGCCAGCAGCCGTTAAAGTACTTGTACTATTCCACATGCACGAATAAAAATAGTTGCGCACTACTAATACAAGGACACAGAAGACACGCTCGAGCACAGACTTATGTGCTCGTCTGTGTCTTTTGCGCCATTCGTCTTAGTAGTGCGCCACCATTTTTATCCTTCGCAGTGTGAACCAACTCGCCTAGCAGCAAGTTTTATAGAACCACACCTCTACAGGTCGACAAAGTGAAAGAACTATACTTGGGCAGGTTTTCGAAAGCGGCTCTTCTTTCTTAACTGCAAACGACATCGCACACGTAGTTTCATATTCGTAAACTATATTACTGAAGCTCTCCTATCATAGTCAGGTATTATAGGAATCGCGATGAAGTATCTTTTGGTAATGTTCGACTTTCCATTCGCGAAATAGTGCAGATATAGATTTTTAAGGCATGCAGACTATGAATAGCCTGAACACCAGCGGTGTTTGCACAAAAACTGGGTACGTGCCGCAGATATCAGGCAGGATAATTTTTCTCACCTCTGGGCCCTTAAATTGAGGAATTCACCGTCGGGATGAACTCAGTGATGAACGACGCGTTGCAAAGAAAAAGACTAGTAAATTCAACACGCATACACAACTGCTTGGCTGATCGAGCATCTGAACGGAGGGTGGAACGACGGATTATATAGTACTTGTTTTCACGAGAAGGGAAGACATCTCGCCTCTTGGTGTATGGTAAGTATCTGTATGAGTGTCTTGTTGAAACTGCGGAGCTCAGGAAAAGGAACCTGAAAACAGCTGCTGGCGTTACCACACTGAATCAGCCATCAAGGTAGCGTAAGAACAGAAGCTCTGGGTTTCTAGCAACATGTGCCGAAAAATCAAGCAAACTGTTTATTCCGAGCCCTTGTTCAAAGAATGTTGTTTTATTAATGGTACACGGGTCAAGTGGGAACACGTATATCTTGTCGAATTCAGCTATCACGAAAGCGTGAACTTTCTGCTCTTCGTACATAACTTAGTTCGCATTTACACAGAAACTTTTAATTGTTATAAAATACGTTCCCCTCTCACCCACCCACCCAAAACAAATTTCCGCCTCCCAACACTTTGTAGCGAAGTCCTTTACCGGTATTATCAGAACCCATTCAAATACGCAATGATTGTCATTGGTATCCTCTCATCATTGCTGCTACTGGTGATATCTGTGTCACCCTCCAGCTGTTTGGCCGCACTACAGGACTCATACAGAGCTTCATTCTTTTCGCATACTTATTGAAGCTGTTACCCACGCGAGAAGGTCTCAAAGCGACTTTCAGATATGCGGTGTTTTTCTTACATCGCCTGCGGAGATTTAGCCTTCACTATATTCTTAGTCTTAAATGTTTTCAGCACATAGGCTACTCTTAGAGCGCTATACAGAGCTTTAATTATGCGTTAGTGCAGCACTACAAAAATAAAAAAGCCGCGAACAATCCTTTTTTGGCTCAATATTTATCTCAAGTTTTAATCGTCTATTCAAGCAACAGATTGCACAAACTACACATGTCGTGTGAAATAGTCTTTGCCGTGTCACGCGCCACCTTTGGCGACATCAGATCACAATCGTCTACGTAGAGGACCGACATCACAGCACTACCGTCTACGTAGGACGATTGTTATGTCTGCGTCATGCCCTTATTCTCAAGACATGAAGTGTTGCACCAATATGAAAAATGAGGTAGGGATGGTAATTACTCTCAGTCGAGTCGAAAGAAACTGCGGCTAAAGCTTTTGTACCAAGTATTTCATGGTAAAACCGGCATTCGAAAATAAAACTACTTTCACAGTCCTCATTATATTTCTTTGTGAAATGATCATTGCTTCTAAATTCTAGAGTACCATACCAGATCTAATTTGTAAGCTAATTCGTTTTTTTTCTTCATTCCAATAGAGAATAGAAATGCTTATCTACTGAACAGGCGTGCTGTATAAATTAAGATGTGTTTTTCTCAACATTGTAACAGCCTTGCTGCAGCACTTTCGGGCTAAGTGGGGCAATCATTGAATAAAGAATAAAGCGGGCGCCCGCGCATGCAGCGTTCATCTTGAAATTTGACCCATTTCCGCGCCGCGTAGCGTTGCGAATTCTGGAAGACGTGATCATCAGCTGAAAATTTTCAAATATGGTGAGGGCCCTTTTAACAGCACCTGTCCACCTTGATTTTTTAAGACGAATATCTTCCTTGGGATACTTCGATTGATTTGTGGGGTTTAACGTCCCAAAACCACCATATGATTATGAGAGATGCCGTAGTGGAGGGCTCCGGAAATTTCGACCACCTGGGGTTCTTTAACGTGCACCCAAATCTGAGCACACGGGCCTACAACATTTCCGCCTCCATCGGAAATGCAGCGGCCGCAGCCGGGAATCGAACCCGCGACCTGCGGGTCAGCAGCCGAGTGCCTTAGCCACTAGACCACCGCGGCGCGGCTCCTTGGGATACTTCAACGCAGACGTTTTGGTCTGTCTGTCTTGTGTGTGTTCTGCTTCTCTGTCTATCAACCAATTCAGCAGAATAGCGAAAGTATAACTCCTCCCTTAAGGAGCGGTCATCTTGAGCTCGTTTCTGAGTTCATACGGGCTGACTTTGTCAAACCAAAATAAAATATTACGCATACTTGAGGCATATCAGAACGCAAGTGTTTGGCAGTGTGTCTTTTTCAAAAATGCACACATACGTAATTCTAAATACTGAAGTGCTTATTACGCTGAGCTGGCAATTCGATGCTAGGGACAAAAATTTGTTGTTTCCACGCTTCGCTAGGAAAACTCAGGTGCTTTATTTAAAACTAAATCCTTAAACGACGGGGTGTTGTCACCAAGCAGCTTTAAAAAAGAAACCTTGATTGTTCCCTACCAGTGGCTCTGCGTTTTTCAAAAACTTTGTTGCTCCACATTACCGCCAGATGGCACCGTCTAGCACCTCGAGGCAGAAGACTATCGAAAAACAGAAATTTTTGACGTTCTTTGCAGAGAAGCACGGAGGTTGTGCGGCCATTTTTGTTCTGTTGAGTGATTCAAAACATGCCAGCGTTGGCGTAACGTTGCACGTGACCTTATCACGAACTCGAAACCGACCACTCCTCCCTCGCATACTACCTCAAGGCACCAAGACTGCCAGAACGAGCCCCTTGTTATGCATGAAGGAAGAAAGTATGAATTCAAGCTCTGATTTTCTTTCTTTCACTCATTAATCATCAAAACTTAGAGACAATGATGCCAAGAAAAATATATGGGTTGTTTTTAAAAGTAATTGTAATGCAAATGCGAAGAAAAAGACAAGTACTGTTGACTGGGCGCGTTGGTGCATGATAAAATGATATTGCTTTAGTGCAGCTCCGTTTGAGCGTGAAGGAAAAATACCATGCAGTCATGATTCACACTGTCGTCTGTTTTTTTCCCTTCTTGACTGCATAGTATCTTTCCTTCACGCTCAAACTCAGCTGCACTAAAACAGTATCATTTTAGCGAAGAAAAAGAAGAGGATGAAAACAAAACTTAGCAACGGCAGCGACCGAACCTGCAACCTCTGAATATGTGTTGCCACATTTAGCGAACCTTTCGACAAACTTGCAAGAAGACAGAGGCTTGTCAAAACAAAAAAAAAATCTTGACCAGGCATTGCCCCTGGTAGCAGGGAATGTTTCGACAAGTTGAAGCGTTGGCCGCAGGAAGCGTGCCTGTTAAGGGATATTTCAGGAAAAATAATAGGCTCATATATAAACCTAGCTCGAAGTTAATGCAGAATATCCACAGTGTCTTACAACAGCGAGAAGAGTGACTGTAACACTGATACTAGACTGACGCGTTCACCATTACTATCATTTAACTAGTGTTACGCAACCATTTATGTAATATATTACTTGCGATTTACCTATCGGGTAAGGCTGTGAATGACGTATGAACGAACGGAAAAGGGGTCTAATAACGGTAATAGGGGCTTTGTGTTCGCTTCGGGATGTCTCACATCAAGCAGAGACGGGCACATCAGGGATTGATTGGTTTGTCACAACGCAATGGCTTGTATCACAGCGCAATGTGATATGAAAGCTCAAGGTGAAGGAGGAGGAATTAACTTTATTATAAGAAACCGGCAGGTTTAGGTGGCCGGGCTTAGGCTTCCCATGAGGGGACGTCAAGGGCTTTCCTCAATGCCGCCTCACGGGTGTGCTGGGTCGCCCAGGTTTGGTCATCAATAACGGGGCTTCGCAGAGTCTCATGGAGCCAAGAAACAACGAACTTTTTGAGCCCATGTTTTCTACTACGCTGTGCTACGAAAATTCACAAATAATGTTCTGACCTTCGTTTCTTAGATAATAATTGAGAAATGTTTTTCATTGCGAAAAACAGTATTATGAAGACTGTATAACTTCTATAACTTGATTCGGTGTGTCAGTTTACTATTTATTACACATGAAATGCTGAAAAAAGAAGGCAGAGAGAAAGTTAATGAGGTCTGAGTGTCGTAAGAGCATAACTTAAAATTCTATGAATGTGAATACGGAAAATAGCTGCCGCAGCGAATGTGCGAAACTGTATATACGTATAACATAATTTATTATGCTACTCTGTACAGCTTCGTAAGCAATATATAACAGCATAAGCATACAAAGCGATTTCCCTTAGAAGAGTGACTTCCAGCGCTCGCATTGTTCTGCACGGAAACCCTTGGTCTCGTTGAAGTGGTCGCTATTCATGTGAATAACGGTTGGTGAACGCTTGGTGTACCTTGGCCACTTCTGCTTGCTGGGCAGCTCGGGACGCCTGTTAGAGCAGAAGGAGTATGTCACGTGACGCAAGAGCAATCAATAAAGGTTTTTCATGTATGTAAACATTGATAGGCGCCCTTTGACATATTGAGGCACTTGTAACGACTTATCGGCGCGTCGGGCAGTTCGCGTGGTAGGCTCCCCGACGTGTTGTGCTCGGAGGCAGCCTTACACCCCCCGTGCCGATTCGCCGTTTCCGATTTCCCTTGCTTGCCTCAGCCGTTTCGGTATGGTTCTGGCAGAACCTGAGAGAACTGGTATTGCTGAAACAAAACCCTCAGAGACCAAGAGGTGCTTTGCGACATTGCCTCTAGCGAAAGGCGCATGCACCATGGCATTGTGAAAAGGGCGGTTTGTTAACTAATCCTAGAAGGCAGTGGTGAGCTTCGCGATGGCCAGAGCGTACGCGTAGCGACATCCCCACAAGTGCCTCAGTATTTCCACGGCATGTACCACTGTTTACAAACATGAAATACAACTATAGTTCGACAACCAATGTTTCTAGAGGTACATGTACGAAAAGCACTACAGGTGGACGTTTCATGCAGGTGCTTTAATTAGTAATTTATTGCCATATCTTCCTTTCACGAAGCAAGAAAACTGTTCAGACAAATGTTAAGCTCGCTGCCCACATATGGCCCCGCGTAATGTCGTCATTGCATGCCACTGTGAATACTCGATGACAGAATGGCAGTCATCGAGTATTCACAGTGGCATGCAATGTATACTCACAAGGTTGTTAATTGTGCGCTGTGTGCATCATGAAAGCGAAGCAGTGAGCAACACTGCAATTTTTCATTCATTGAAGTGGTAATAGCTATTCCACAGTGTATTATAACTAGGCGTGGTAATTGTTAATCTAATTCAGGTCCGTCTTCTGTCCCCCGCCTTGATAATTTGTACAAGGTGCTCTACTTCACACTCGGTTACCCGAAACATGCATTACCATTCATTTTATTATGTTTGAGACGATGATTTCAGTATCTCCAGTTTTA